ATTTTTTAACAAGACAATTATCTCTTAGCTATAAAGAAAGAGATAATATGTATTGTAGAGTGGGTACTTCTCTCCACCTACATTAAGGGAAGGGCCAAAAGTTAATGCCAAACAGTCTCCTAATTATAATTATACATTTATTCAGTTTAGTAAAGGTAAAATAATTTGTTCTGAGTAGCTGGTGGTAGAGAGAATGTCTTACAACTCGTCTTGTTTTACTGGATCACACAGTAAAGTAACCAGTTAATCAAACATTTGACTAGGGTTTTTCTCCTGCTGCAGAGAAAGAAGTGTCTCTCTCTCTCTCTCTCTCTCTCACACACACACACACACACAATTTAAAATGACAATGCCACTTTCTACATGTAATAAATACTACCGCTGAACCTATAAAAGTTTTAAATGTTTTATAAGTGCTCAACTTAATTCCTTTCAACATATTTAAACCACTGCAGAATAACATTTTTTAAAAAATCCATGCTCTTTATCCCAAATTATGATCCAAACTCACTAGAAATAAAACACCCTATCAATTAAAATTGTTTAAAAGTGATGGAAGGTAGAAAAAATCCACCCCTTGTCAAAATGCACTGAGAAAAAAAGCTGTCTTTTACATTTATAATTCTAAAACCCTCATTCTGATGCTGAGAAAAACTATGTGCAGAGGAATGACTACTAATCCATCCCAAACATAGAGTCAGTTGTTCCTCTTATTGGAACAAACACTCCTCTCTCAATATCATTGGGCATAACTCCTAAGTTTTTATTGAAAACAAAACTTTTAAAATTTCTTCAAGCTTGAAGTCTCAACACTCAGTTTTCCATTCAAACCGTGAAAAGCCATCATTGTCATTTTCAAACAAACAATAAAAGAAAATAATAAACATTATATTGAACACTAATATCTGATTAAAGAAAACAGTATATTCCCCCTCGAGAGGCTACAGTAGAAAATCCATTTTCTGAGAAAGTCTTTAAAATCACTTACCCATCTATTGAGTAAAGTTGGAGATTATACTGGACTGCCACTTACAAGAAAGAATCACATTAATCTTCCACTAAATCTTCCTTTCTAGCGCCTTACAAGACCGTGTATTCAGAGAGGACAATTCCTCACATGGACAAAATCAGATGAGTGACAGAGAAGCCTTCTGATGCCAGTAAAAGATTGTTTAATTTCTTTCCTTCAGTAAGAACAGTAATGAAAATATACACAGAACCCACTTTGCAATTTGTGGACAATCACACATGCTCCTTCCCAAAAGAAATTCATCCAAAATAGTTGCCATTTCAAAAGCAACTTGAGTCTGAAAATATTGCAAAAATGGAAGTCTACAAAATGACAGTGAAGAATTACAGGCAGCCAACTCATTATTCAATCAAGAATTTGGCACAATCGTAAACCAAGTACCATCTATTTTAATGGATTTTAATTCTCCTGCTATCAGTTGAAATTCTAGATCCCAAACTAAACAATGACCAGTGCCAAAACCTGAGAATTTCCTCTTTTTTTTTTCTGCCTAAGAATACTGTAAAAGCAAAGGGGGCAGAAATACCGTACTACTCCTGACACGAGATCTGCATTCTGTAAACTAAAATTCAAATAGCCCAAAATAAAATCTTTGATCTATTTCCAGGTAAGGTAAACACTAATGCCTCTCTCTATATGTGTACTACAATAGAACTGAAATATGAAGGTTCTCAAAACATTGTAGCAACTGTTCTTAGCAATTATTTTATTCATAAGAGTATTTCCTGGGAATAAAATATTACTGGAATTTTTCATCAGTTTCAAGTAAGGTAAACTTTCTAGTTCACAATATTCATCCTTGTAACAATTATCTATTACTAAGAATACAGAACCGAGTTGCTAAAATGACAGACCAGAAAGGAGCTTTTTGGATTTTTTTAGACTTGTTCTTTAACCACACAGTAGTACTTTCTATCAATCATTACCTTTATTCCAAGATGTATAACCAAGATAGTCTGGTGTACATTTAGATTATGGCTTTTGGGTAAATATCCTAAGACATTTTGAAAATGAATAAAAAGGCAAGTTTTACTTATTTATGTAAAAATTACGGAAATCTCTATTCTCAGCTTTTCAATAGCATGGGTAGCTCATCTCTATCACTTTCTACCAGGGCATATGAAGTTATTATTTTATTATTTTTTTTTTTGGAGAGGTTTTTAATTGCTATAGGGTGCATGTGCTCGCCAGACAGATGGAGTGAGACAGAAAGCGAGAAATCACCCCCTAGGGGGGATGGCTACGCCACAATCCCTTCTCCTCCATTCTCCTCTCAGGATCTTGGGCACGCATGCACACGTGTCTGGCATGAGTTTAAGCCACCGGGTCTGAGACTCGAACCGCAGTCGACTACATGGGAGTTCAGCGACATAGCCATTACGCTAACTGCTGATCCCAAGTTATTTTAGGAGGCCCCCCCCCCCCCGGGGAAGATGGCCACGCTGCAATCAATCTCTTTTCCTCTATTCTCCTCTTGGGATTTTAAGCACGCATGCAGATGCAGACACACATACACACACACACACACACACACACACACACACACACACACACCCGGCATGAGTTTTAAGTCACCAGGTCTGGGACTCAAACAGTGGTCAACGTGAGAGTCCAGCGATGTAACCATTATGCCATCTGCTGGTCCCTAGGGCATATGAAGTTTAAAAAAATACTGCATCAATTTTTGATCATTAGGGCATACTAACTATTTATGTTTAAATTCTCATTTTCTAATGAAGATATAAATGTAGTACTTTGGAGCCAGCCCTAGAATGCATTGGCAAAGCACTATGCAAAGGGAACCAGATATCACATAGCCAACCACAGTTCAAATCCCAGCCCTGGAAGCCTGAGAAGCATGCATGCCTAGGATCCTGATGGGAGTGAGAAATGAAAGAAAAATGACTGAACTGTGACCAGATCCCCATTCAAGTTACTTTCTCTCTCTCTCTCTCTATATATATATATATATATCTCCCTCTCTCTCTCTCTTTCAGGTACATGCACTCTATGCACTCTGACATAAAAAAGTTGTATTGTGATACATTTATTTGTTATTTCTCATTAATGAAATCTAAGATTTACAAGTGAGTATTTGCAATGCGCCAAAGTAAATGGAGCACTCAGGAAAGCATAAAATATGTACACCCCTTGCTTCAAAAATTTTAACTGAGCCATAAGAAAAGCAAAGTGACTCCATATTGTACTTAGTCTTATAAGCCCATCTTAATAGTCACTGTTAGGAAAAATCAATCTTTACTTCCATCTTTCTGTTCCCTCACAATAAATCTTCCAGAGCCTAACCTTTTACCTCCCTCACAATGGGTCTAGCCTAATGCTTAACTAATGAAAGTTAATACCCTTGCTGAATCTTTGCAACTACTGGGCTACGGAGATAGCCAAGAGGAAGATGGTACCAGTTCCCGCACATTTGCATGCTTGAGAAGACTTCATCAGCTTTATCACTGCAAAGCAACACTGGAGACTCTCACAGTTTCCCTTTATTTTTTTCCTCTGAAAACCCTTGTGATGACCTGTTACTGGGAGATGGTCTTGGGACACTCAGCTTCCTGAATAAAGAAACCTTTCCCTCCACCAACATTTGTCTCACAAGTATTGACTTTTGAGCAAAGAGCAGGTGAACTTGGGTTTGGTATGGGGGTTCTGGTTACAAACGCATGCAACAGCACTTCTTATTAAGTTTACTAACTGTGTTCTGCAGTGAAGAGATATAATGAAGGGCCAGAGTTAGCCAACGAAGACTGAACATGACCTCAGTAAGATCTCTGGTTGGGAGTAAATATAAACCAGAACTGTTTTTGGAACTTCGATAATTTAAAAAAAAAAAAATCGAATTTGACATTCCTGATTATTTTCCATAAAAATGAAGGTAGTAATGATTAATTAAAAATATGTCATTCGGGGACCAGCAGATGGTGTAATGGTTATGTCTCTGGACCCCACACATAGTTGGCTTCAGTTCGAGTCCTGGACCCAGCGGCTTAAAACTCATGCCAGGCATGTGCATGTGCATGCCCAAAATTCCAAGAGGAGAATGGAGGAGAAGGAATTGTGGCGTGGCCATCCCCCCTTGGGAGTTAGGTAATTTCTCACTTTCTGTCTTTCTGTCTCTCTGGCAAGTGCATGCACCCTATAGCAAAAATCTCTATTAAAAGAAGAAAGAAAGAAGAAAGGAAAGGAAAGGAGAAAGTAAGCAAGCAAGCTGCCAGGTCTGGGACTCAAACCACAGTTAAAGGCCTTGTGGGGAGTCCAGTGCCTTAATCACCATGCTACCTGCTGGCCCCACATAATTTCTTCATAGCATGCGTTTTTACATGAACTTTCTAAAGATCCCCCACCCCATATTTTTTTAACAGAAGAGAAAATGGAAATCAATTTTAGCTTGTAGTTAAACACATTATGTTATATACATTATACTATATTATCTATTAAACTATAGCTTAGATATAGATATTATAAAACAAGACGAAGTGTAGTAGCAGCTCATTCTATGAACTAAAGATGTTTAATTACCTACATTTAATTCCTAAACATTGGGTCACTGATACTCATCCATTACTTCCAATTTCAATAAGTGTCTTTATTTAACAAGATTATCACTTCAATTAATCAGAAATATTGTATCTAAAAATAACTTGCAAAATAGATAGTCAATAAAATGCAATCATTCAAAGTCATCACCCCAAATATATACACATCTTACCTTAGATTACAGCCCTCATTAAACCAAGAAATAAGTGTGAAAGAAAATCCACTGCACTCAAGGGGATGATTTTACAACACTACCTTTCAAATAGAACTGGGTAAAAAGCACAAATATAACACAACTAAATATTAAGACTGTAACATCACGATTACACAGTAGAATTTTTAAAATATAAAAATATACATATATCTTTTTTTTTTTTTACCTGTTTTGCAATATCTTTTTTTTTTTTTTTTTTTTTCTGTTTTGCAATTTCTCTTAAACAGGCTACTCCTTGTTCAAAATTAGGGAAAGCTACGGAGCCATACTTTTGGTACTCAGGGATTGGTCTGATTTTTATTGTAGCTTCTGTTATTACACCAAGAGTTCCTGAAAAAGAAGGGGGAATAATCCAATATATCACATAATAATTTTAATTCATATTTAAATCTATTTATTCTATTAAGTCATTCTATTATTCATATTTAAATCTATTTATTCTATTTGGTGAATAAAGGCCATTCAAGTTTTTTTAGGAAAAAAATCAAATTTTATAATTTTTAAAAAAGGCTTTTAAAATATGTTTTTCTTAGTTATATAAATATTTTAAGCATTTTTAAGTAACCTTTCTTAAGGCATGCTATTTTTAAATGGTTTTTTAAATATTGCAATTTATTTTTTAAAACTCGAAAAATAGGTTTTTATAACTTATATTCAGATAGAAGAATATTTTTATATTTGTGCCTATTTTTACAGTGAAAAAAAAATTTATTCAGACAGAGAGAACCTAACCTTCTGTAAGAACTTAGGATGACAGAAGAAATATGAGGAGATATTACCTTGCTTTTTTCCCTAAGACCTAATATAAAGAAAAGACAAAGGCATTATAGAGATGCCCTTGCAAAGAAACAATGACAACAATAAAGCATATTAAGAGACAAAATAGTTATCATAAATATCTAGCACAACAGACACACCACGGACACAAATATTCTATTCTTTATCACCAGGGGAAACAGTACAAGGGATTTAAAAAAAAAAGAGTTACATAGAATCACATATCCTAAATATCTATGCTAAAATATGTAAAGGGACATGGTTAAAAGCAATTATATTAGGGCCAGTTGGTGGTATGGTAAAGGCAGCTGGATTCCACATGGATGAATGTGCAGTTCAAGTCCCAAACCTGGCAGTTTGAAAAACAGGCTAGGCCCATGTGTGTACATGCTCAAAATCCCAAAAGGAGGGAGAAATGGAGAAGGGACTGCAGCATGACCATTCCCCATAGGGAGTGCTTTCTTCACCTTCGCTCTTCAGCAAGCCTGCATACCATCTGAGAAATCACTGTTTATAAAATTATATTTACAAAGTCAATCTTTTCAAGTAAGTGGTTTCTGATGTATGAGTGGTATAAAGGAACAACACGCTTAGTAAATTTTCTAAGAATCCTTTTTTAAGTAAACAGAGAAACCTTTAAAACTGTAGAACTTATTTACAACACTGGAAACAAAAAGTATCACAGAAGTCAAAGTGTCAGTAAATTTATAACATACCTGAAACAACTTGTCAATATTTAATACAAGATTAAAAACTGTGAGCCCATAAAAAGTAAAATACATTATATTAGACTACAATATATTTCACTCACACACACACACACACACACACACACACACACAAACACAATTTCCTACTGAGATTATAATATATGATCTTTATGACTTATATGATAACAAAAGCTCTGGAAGCTTGGGCTGATTATTATTTTAATATAAAATAGCTAGGACTCTCACAGTATAGAATTTTATGACTGATTCACTTATAGTATTTTCAAGGTTCATCCATGTTGTGGCATGTATTTACATCTCATTCCTTTTTAATTGCCAAACATTACTCCATTATATGGACTAACTCATTTTGTTTACTCATTCTTCACTTGATGAAATTTTGGATTCCATTTTTTGGCTATCATGGATAATGCTGACATGAACTTTTCATGTGGACATAGGTTTTCCTTTCTCTTAGATATATACCTAAAGAATTTAATTTCAGAAAAATCTTTGATCTTATTTCACATAACAGCTGGCCCTAAGCTATCTTTTTCCATTGGAGTTCCAGGAGAGTACAGTTGAGAGGTGGGGGGGGGGTGACTTCTTGCTCCTACACCCACTAGATGAGACAGAGGCTCCGCCTTGACTTGGCACAACTGATAATACTGGGTCCCAATTACCCTTGCCCTGTCTTGTTAAACGGCTAGTTTCTTGTAGAGAAGCACACCTAATTCCCCAGCACTCAGCAGGACTATCACTCAGAGAGGAGCATGGCTTTGTCCCTATCCCCACCTCCAGAGACAAGGTTCAGGACTGCCAGTAAGGAGAAATAGGCCTTAAGACAGATACCTCCTAATCTCTTTCTAAAGAAAATGAGTCCATTTGCAATAGATCATAGCTAAGTTAAGCGTACAGATGCTATTAAAACAGGCTGGCTCATAGCCTAGGGGTAAGGGGAACCAGAGCCCACATGGCCAACCATGGTTCAAATCCTGGCCCTGCAGGTGGCATAATATTTAAGGTGCTGGACTCCCATGTGGCTAGCCACGGTTTGAGTCCTGGACTGGTGGCTTGAAACTCAAACTAGGTGGGTGTGTGTGCATGTACAAAATCCCGAGAGAAGAATGGAGAAGGAACTGCAGTGCGGCCATCCCTGGTGAGGGTTCATTTCTTGCTTTCTGCCTCTCTCTCTCTCTGGCAAGCACATGCACTCTATAGCAAAAATCTCTCAAATGAAAGAAAGAAAAAGAAACATGGTGGGTGCATGTTATACATGTTCCAAATCTCAACAGGATGGAGAAATGTAAGAAAGAGAACTGCATTGTGACCACCCCTCAATGGAGGGTGCTTTCTCCCACCTTCTCGCTTTCTGTTTCTCACTGGTGAGAGCGCACACCCTCGAGCATAAAAAAATTTTTTTAAAATAAAAAGGCAGTGAAGGATATGGTAAAAAGGCAGTTGGGAGGCCATGGATACATTCGCTGGAGATACAGGATAAAGTTCAGGTTGGCAGGGACCAGCAGTTAGCATAATGGCTATGTCACTGGACTCCCACGCAGTCGACCGCGGTTCGAGTCCTGGACCCAGTGGCTTAAACTCATGCTGGGTGCATGTGCATGCGTGCCCAAGATCCCAAGAGGAGAATGGAGGAGAAGGGATTGCAGCGTGGCCATCCCCCCTGGGGGGTGATTTCTCACTTTGTGTCTCTCTGTCTCTCTCTGTCTGTCTGGTGAGTGCACACACCCTATAGCAAAAAAAAACCTCTCCAAAAAACGAAAAAAAAAGTTCAGGTTGGCTAGTTTGCTGGGAAAGAGACAGTGAGAAGAATCCATCACTCCAGACACAGAAAAAAAAAAAAATCTCAAAGATTTATCTCAAGAATGTACCTTCTAATACTCCTTCTGAGAAGACTGCATGTGGTTGTATTAATCAGTAATTTATACCTCATAGCATTACTGGAAAAAACTGCACAGTCAGCTTTAATCAGTGCCCCCTTAACAGCTATGCGGGGTCTGTTATAAAGGGACTGGGCATACATACCTAAAGGTGAAACCCAGGAAGGAATGACATCAGAAATTTTTAAAATGTGTAGGTGAGAAGGGAAAGACCTCACTAAAATAATATGGTGAATATTTAAAGAAACAAGTAAGTAACAATACAGGATCTGTACTGGAAGATGATAGTATACAGAAATGCTAGAGTATGTATATTATGTAAAATATCATTTCTAGGCTAGCAAGTGGCATGGTGGTTAAGGTGCTGGATCCGATATGGCTGACCCTATGGTTTGAATCTCAGACCAGGTGGCTTGAAAACACTCAAGGCGCATGTATATGCATGTCCAAAATCCTGAGAAGAGAATGGAGAAAAAGAGATTGCAGTGTGGTTATACCCCCTGGCAGGGTGATTTCTTATTTTCCCTCTCTCTCTGTCTCTGCCTCTTTCTGGCGAGGGTACCAGCCCTAAAGCATAAATCTAAAAATAAATAAATATCCACTTTCCAACAAAAAATTCTGACATACGTGAAAAACAAACAAACAAACAAACAAACAAACAAACAAAACAACTGAATAGTACAACCCATATATGGGGAGTGGCGGTGGCTAAACTGCCTCTAACAGCAACCAGATGTCATATTTAACAAAGACTTCAAAGCTGTCATCAGAAGTGTGTTCAAAAGACTAACATAAATCATGATTTAAAAAGTAAAGGAAGGCAGCATGCCAATGTCATATCATTAAATATTATCAATAGAGAGAAATTAAGCCCAGTCATGGCAGAGCAGTAGATGATGCTGCTACTCGGCAGGCTGAGGCCTTATTGGAGGTCTGGGTTCAATTTCTGACCATTCTAAAAAAGTGAGGCTTAGGGACATATGTCCATAGTACCAGCTACTTCAGAGGCTTAGGTAGGAAGATTGTGAGTTCACAACTAGCATGGGCAACAAAGCAAGATTCTGTCTAAAAAAGCAGAGTGAAATGGGCTCCCAAGTGTAGTCCCAGCTACTCTGAGGGCTGAAGCAGGAGAATGATGACATGACAAGATCCTGTCTTTAACAACAAAAAGCAAAAAGGGGGCTGAAGGTGGCTCAGCAGTAAAGCATCATTAATTATCAAGAAAATGCAAATCAGAACACAATAAGATCCCACTTCATCCCCATTAGAATGGCTATTATTTGAGGGTGGTGGGAGGAATGAGTGGCATAGTGGTTAAGGCACTGAATTCCTAAGAGGTCGATTGCAGTTTAAGTCCCAAACCTGGTTCCTTGAAACTCACAAGGAGCGCGTGCCTTTACGTGCCCAAAATTCTGAGAGGAGAATGGAAGAGAAGAGATTGTGGCATGGCCATCCCATCTGGGGGCTGGGGTAGTGGTGATTTCTTGCTTTCTGTCTCTCTGTTTCTCCGGAGAGCACACGCATCCTACAGCAAAAATCTCTCTCTCTCAAAAAAAGGAAGCTATTATTTTTTTAAAGACTTATTTAATTTAACTATTGTTGTTGTTTGACCAGAGAGAGAGGGAAAGTGAGAAAGCAGGCTGCCAGTTCTGAAACTTGAACCACAGTCAACCACGTGGGAGTCCAGTGCCTTAACCACCATACCAACATATGTTGGTAAGGATATGGAGAAATTTAAACCCTCATAAACTACTTGTTAAGGAAGTAAAATAGTGCAGCCATGCTGGAAAACAGTGTGGCTATTCAAATAGTGAAACACAGGATTATCACACGATCTAGCAATTCTACTATGTACATGAAGACTCAGGGAAAACACCTATTATGAAAAATTATGCATGGATTTCAAAAATGTTTACACCAAAATAAATTTGCACTTTAGTTCCTT